CTTCCTCGCCTTTACACTATGCAGAATCTTCATTATTTAATGTCGGTTGTGAGTTTTTTTACTATTACTTGTATCGTTTAATACATGGAAAATACACACTGAAATTTATTAAAAATGCGCAAATGGGCGCCTGAAGGTAAATTAAATGCAATTACACCTTTCCATTAGGCGTGTCTATTATCATATCAGGGATAATCTACAGAATAGCACTTTCGAGTTATATAGAAGAATGAGCGTAATTTGCTATCGATTAGATGTGCTAAACGACAGACGTACTTGACAGCGAACATAAACGATAATTTTCTCAAAGTAACCTTCTCATAATATATGCTTAAACAGGCGATAGGATATCTGGTTCCAGGGCCATAATCGATGCCAAAATTAGTGGAAAAGGTGTTTTCGGATGGCACTGCAATTACCTTCACCACAGATATTAACGCATTCAGTACAGCTAAATGAATAGTCTAGATGCTAATGACAGACCGTTATCCCATAGGTCATTTCCCATAAATGGAGTATATGAACATTTTATTCCAATCCAAAGAACTTACTCTGCGGTCTTGAGTCGTGTTTTTTTTACATTTTACCTCTTTCCCATTAATAGTCAGGGTACTTGTCGTTTTCTTAAGGATTAAAAGCTTATACTAGTCTAGAGTTCATTTCAATTTATTCCACGACAGTGGGGATTTGGATAGTATCTTCCAAATTTATATTTTGATACTCCCTCTTCTTCAGATTAGCAAAACCAGACTAATCGATCGCTATTGCTAAAGACAGAGAAAGTCAAAAGTCGCCACCTGGATAATGAGTAATCGAAATGAACTAAAGTCTATCCTGGCCTAGTTAGCCAGCTTCATTTCAGTACTTTAACTTCCGATATGATCTCAGTGTCAGTGTATTGTAATTTACTAATGTCATAATAAATTGTTAACATGCTAACAACTACTAACCCCGTTAGTTGAGACATTTATGAGTTTTATTTAACAAGCTCATTTTACTTACTGTTATTAAGTAGCACGTTATTTCGACATCATTTGTAACAGATAGCAGAAAAAAACGATTTTGAAGCGAGGTAACTGACTTTTAGATAAGTTGACTTTACTGCACAAATTTTAGCAGCTAATTCCCATTCCCTGAGCTAATTTTAATAGACAAGCTGCAAAGAAAGCCAAATTAAACTAGTATCAATCTTAGCCACATCAATTCGTTCAATCTAATTTATATCATGCGACTTTCTTCCTATATGAACGACCTTAAAACTAAGCATTCGTTTGTCCAATATACTCATATAGGTAAAATCTCAACCTTATTAGAACGTACTAGAGGATATTAATAAACCGTGAAGTTTAGCAGGTCTTAGAAAAGAACTATCTAGAAATTAGAGTGATTTATTTTATATTGGAAGAGATTGGAAAGCAAATTTAGAGTTTTACAAGGGTCGCCAGTGTCAATGCTTTCGGAAAACTGAAAAAAGTCGGGTTAAGTTTTAGCATAATCGCGAATTGCTGTCCCATAGGGTTTCATTTATCTATTGCTTATTGGTATTCCCGTGGTATTGTGCCACTAACCTCAAAGTCCGGAACGCCTAAACTCACAATTCAAGATCTCTGAGATAGAAGGAAGCATGAAAATAAAGAAATCTGATCAGAATTTCTGTAAATCAGTGATTCCAAAATCAAAGGCATAGGCGCTCATCAACAACAAATCACTAACCTCCAGCGAATTATCTTCATGAAAGGTCACTAAAATAGCCCACAACGATGGTACATGTAGAAAACTTTTCAAGTTCATATTTTTTATTATGAAAATAAAGCGTACGCACTTCCTTATAGTACCAGAGCTTGTTCAATTTTGCCCCAAATCCATCTTCATACTTAACTTGACCAGTTTCCCACTACCCTGGGTGAATAAATGATTCTATTTTTTTAAATTCCATTTTTACTTTTAATAATTAGGTTATTATCGGAACCAATCGCTTAATTTAGAAAATTAATTGAATATACGGCTTTCGCTTTAGTCATCAATGAGATAAGTCCTTTTTCTCTCTACCAACGAAAGTGTTTCCAACTATATTACTTCAAAGATGGTTATAATTGTGCAACCGGGTTGCTTGTCTTTAACTTTAATGCAATTCCACAAAAATATCCTAGCAAAATATCAATGAGTGCATTACGGAATGGTCTCTTAATCGGATTTCCATATCGTTAAAAGCGATCGTTTGTGAAAAATAATAATAATAATGATAAAGGAAAAATTTAAATTATTTAAACATTTAAGAATTTTCATCACAACGAAAGCCAAAGTGTATTTTCTTTCAATTGAAGCCTGAATTTGTTAATAAATCCAATGAGCAACAAAATTTTAAAATAAGAAAAGAAGCCACCTAACATTTATTTATAAAACTAAAAAAATTTTGTTTGTTTAAAAAATGTTGTTTACTATTTTTCATAATTTAACTTTGTGCAGTAACCAAACAATAAACTTCCAGTTGTAACACGGCCTTGCAATTCTTTGCCTTTTCAACTTATTTTTAATTGTGTGAAAACAAGGCAGCGCTAATACTAAAATAAACCTCCTTTTATAATTTGGCTGATATAGCCTCCTTACAATTTATTAATCTCAATAGCTAGCAGGAGACAGACTGAGAATTGAAGTGCACCACTGAACTATTGGACGATTGCTGAGGAAGAACCGAGTGGTAGAAAGGTGGCCTGACTTAAATGCGGACACTACAAAATCGTAAAAGTATTGTGGTGCAACGAGGGACTATGATTTTATCTCATTTTCAATTATCTCCATGATTGTCTCAACAGAAGGAACCTTCGTCCCCTCGTGATGTATTGTTAAACTACAAATGTGTTTGAACTGAACATCTATATCATTTCCAATCAAGGTTTAACTGAGCCGAGATATATCATGTCCTCTTTTCCAATGGCAATGGGATTGAATTCGATTAAAAATAAGTATTTAAAATGTTGAAAAATTTTAATATACTTTGTTCAATTCTGCCAATAGCAAGATGTTGTTTCAACAGAACAAACTGCGAATTGTACAGAATGTTTTTTTCTTAATCAAAGCATAGAAATTGAAGACTCTGTTTTCTTTTAAATTAAATTCTAGAATTTTCTTTTTCACGTAAATGTCAATTTCTTATATTTACCATGTCATCCGAAAAGTTCCGGCTGACATATTGACAATGATATATTGTCTATATTAAGGGTTTTGTTTGCGTACTTTCCAGTTAACTGATTAAAAGAAAAATCTCAAAAATTTAGTAAAATTAAACCGCTTTTAATTTGCTATCTAGTATTTATCGCCTATTTTCAGATCATAAAATTTAACGCTTATCCCAATACGAATGGTCTCAAATTACTCAAAAATGTGAGAATTCAGATTTTATTTACTTGTACAGCTATGGCTTTACATAAGTCACATTTGTCATTGATCAGACCATGTCCAAGAAGAAAACATTTTTCTAAATAGAATAAATTACATAGCATTTCCTAATCATGCTCAACTGACAGTGCTCATTTTATTCAATCAGAAATGTGCGTTTGCGTGAATTACGTAGCTTCAAGCATGAAATAACGTCGGCACTCATGTGAAGCACATGGATATGATTGCGATAATTCGAATGCAGCTAAAAAGGAGTTGGGGGGGAGGTGTGAGGAATCCAAGACCCAATCAAAGGCTGATCTCTTGTCAATCACCATTTACACTTATTTGAATTAAAGCCTTATGAGCGTTGGCAAAAGTGGAGTTTAGAGAATTCTGGCATCTATTTAGGGATGAATAATTCATTTATGAACTCTAGTGCATTATGAAATGTTATATCATTAAAATCTAATGAATTTAAACCTGTGCTCCATCGTTTGCCCAAATTCATCTTTCTCTCTTCAGAGTGTCAACGAAACGAACAAAGTTTCAAATCGGGAGGATAAGAAAAAATGCCTTTGGAACGGATTCCAATCATTAAGTGTTGTGAGTTCGCTGGAACTTGAACAATATTAATTTTTCAAAAGTTTACTCCATCCATTACTTGAACCTCACACTTTTACTATCCATTAAAGGGTAATTTAGACTAAGTGACTGCCAAAATTGAGACATCACAAATGTCATCCAACGGTGAAAGCTTGCACGTCTTCAATTTGGATTAGTTTGAAATTTTGACAACTAATAAACAATACGCGTGGAGAGGAAGAGGGGGGGGGGTTGTGGCAATGACACCATGTATTGATACGCGAAGGGCACTGAGTTGTAATAAAGCACTTTACTTAATGTTACGAGGACTGCAAATCGGTATTCCTGAACAGACTGTGCCTACTCAAAAATTTTACTCTCTGACAGAAATAGATATTTTGAGTAAATTCTTTAGCCATTTAAATTAAAATATAAAGTTTCATCGATTTCCGGAATCTTTAATAAGCGTCTAGTAATTCTAATGGTATAGTTTCAACCAGGATCGAAAATTATTGGAACCCATTTCAGATTTCATTATGTAATGATAAGTTTATAACTCACAAATTTCATCCTCTGATAAAATGACTATGTACATAATTAATGGTCGCAAAATCATCCATTTTTAAATTCAAACCTCCACGATAGAATCAATCAATGTATCAAGTACGTGGAACTTAAGGCGTTATGGGTGATCTTTGGCTTTGGTTGACCTAACTGTCACGTGAAACCACAGATACTATTACAAGTACTGTTTTTTTAATATTTAAAGTAATTTAGTAACTTTTAATTATTTCAATTCACTTAGACAATTTTTTTAAAAATTGTGACATTTGACTAAATTCTTAACTGAAATTTCTTTCCATCCATCGGAAATCTAATAGTCATTCAATTCCATCTGTTGTCGGGTTAAATTCTTCTAAAATATTATCAGAAATGGAAAATATGGGGATAATTAATAATACCTACTCTTGTGATTTTGAAAAATAACAAGATTTAACTAAAGATATCAATTACTATAAAGGTTCAATTGAAATGAAACATTAAAAATCGTTTTGTTTTAACCTGCCAATAGGAGGCATATCATATTGAAGCATTTGAATATTTGCTGATAAAGAAAGAAAACAAAACTGGACTTACTTTTCCCACTTCGAGACTGTGTTTTACTAAACCACGACGTATTTAATTTCCAAATTGGTTCATGTGAATTCAGACGCTCACTGGATAAAGCTAAGATTGGATTAGTCGTTGTTAGTCTTATATGTGGCCTTGTAGTGGTCAGTAAAACAGCAGTAACATTGACGATATCTGTAGACTTTCCAGCATGAAAACATCCCCAAGTCCCTTGCACAGCAGCATTGTGTCTGTCAATGATATATCGAAACTTCCAAATGTTGTACATGTCCCGAACAAAGAAATCTTCGACACACTCGACACTGAACAACTTTGGTTTGTCGGAACAGTCTGGTAATGAACAGACTCGTCGGCAGTTCTCTAAACATAATCGGGTCTCTGGAACAAGGGGACAGAGTAGGTGAACGGAATGTTCCTTGGAAGGCAGTCTGACTTCACAAGTTATTACTATTACATCGGAGGATTCGTCAACGTAAATGATGAATTCGTCTGGGATATCTGATTCTGCGGGGTCAAGGGCAGATTCAGTCGGGACATAATGAGATGGAATGGGAAGTTGGTTTTCACTGACAGGAAGTTCCAAGGCTTCTTCATTTATTCCTAAGATCTCATCCAGTTGGTCGGGATCACCGCAAAATACTCCTGAAATAGTGATATCAGCTCGAATAACGTGACTATTTTCCCATTGAGTTAGTATTCATTACATTATACTAAAAATCAGATGTACGGCTATGGACATGGTTCAAGGAATTTCGGATTCGTATCACTCTTGCTGTCCTCATTTTCTGTGATATTTATCAGTATTTAATAAAATTCACCTGTTTTAGTGTTATAATAAGTTTAAAACATAGTATTCAGTGTTAATTAAATTTGCGGGCATATTCTTGCTCTTTAATTTCTAACAAAGGAAATAAAATTTACAATTTTAGTTTATATTGAGATCTCTGTTTTAAAAAATTTGTAGGAAGCATCTAATAGCATAAATACCAGTATTAGAAGCTCAATCCTAAGAAAAGAATTCAATATCGGTACATTTTGATTAAAATTTAGTACTTTTAAATGCAGTGGAAGGTGAACAGTGATTTCGCATCCATATTTGACATTTCAATGTCGAATAATGTTTTTTTGAAGAATTATTTATATTTTTTTCCAAAACTATTTCAAAATCTATTATTCCCAATCAAAATTCACAGATCTGTCCTAAGTCTGTGGTGATATGTTCTATATGAATCATAAATGAATCCCTTCGAATTTTACCTATATTCCAAATCTAACATGCTCCCTTAACAAAAAAGAAGAAGTTAAGCCACTTCGTGAAAAAAATATTTGCAAAATAAATGTAAACTCTGGAAGACAAATATGCGCGATATTATGCACAGGACGAGCTTAAGGGAAATTTTCTAAGATTTGTAAGCTGGGGAAAGTGTAAAGTTATCGGTAGGCTTTGAGACTTTAAAATGGGTTTTTAAAAATGCAAGCATAGACTTGGAAATTCATAGGAGTGCTATCACAAAGTATCAAATGATGAAGGTTCCAAATAACTCTCATCGGACCCAAATATGTGATTCCATTGGCGTGTGCTTGCAGGTTCTTTCACTTCAATTTAAAGCAACTTTAAATTATGAAGCTATTCTCAATTGGCCAGTCTTATCATGATTATAAAATTGTTTTTGGACACAACTAGATAATCAGTTGTAAAAAAAGATATAAATAGTAAGATTTAAAATGCAACTATCCAATTTAGCATTTTATACCCCGCGGCCATACGCCACCATACGCCATACTCTTAATAGGAATTAATAAATTTTCAACTACATTCTAATTACACTAAAATATTGTGATATGATCCAGTAAGCAGTTTAAAGTAATTTAGAATTGTGATGTCTCTTGAATAATTTAAATGGAAAAAGTCAATTTTGAATGATAAAATGAACCATCTTAATAGAAAAATTGGTAATCAGTTATCTTTTTAATAAATAAGGATCCAAAATTCGGGGATCAAATTAAGTAACAGTCATTGTTACACTGACTTCTATTCTCAACAACTTTTTGTTCAATTTCTCTGCTTCGTCGGTTTCCCGGCGCAAAACCTTCAATAATTATTTTCCTTTGCCTTGTTTTATGAATATATTATTAAAAAAACGTGGCGTTGTTTACTTGAGAGCAAGGAAACAAGCGACTGTAATATAAATAATCAAGATAAAATATTTTGAATATATTTGTGCCTTTTGAACATGGCTAAATATGAATGGCAATATTGAGACAGTGTTATCATTGCTAATAATAAAAGTTAAGTTGATTTTCAGTTAACAGAGTATCCGCAGATTAAACCCATTTTCTCATTTCTTCATTGCTGAAATTTTGGAAAATTTATTTGCCTTGAACTCGCGCGAATATGTACGGTGTGGTTTGCCTCCTTGAGAAAGATGATTAATGGAAAGCGGAATACTTAGATCTCCATAAAATTATGTGCTCAAAGAACAAATTTCTTTCTAAAGAATTCCCGTTAACCAGATCCTATTTCAAGTAAAACAATCGATATATTGTTTCATTTTCCATTTAAAGTGAAATCCATCGATTTTTTAAATGAACCCCTTCCATTATAAATTTTAACGTACCTTCTATTGTAAGTGTGGGAAGAAATTGGTAAAACTTTGACTTTACCTTTATATTACATAATATCTCGACCGCAGATTTGATATATTTTAATGATTGAAAGGTTAAGTTGCCAATTCATCTTTGAAATAGATTATGAAATAGAAGGTTTTGGCTAGATAAAATTATTAAGACATGAAAAATCCCTTTTTATTTTTATTATATCCTCTATCTATTACAACACCATCAGGCTTTTAAGAGGACAAATTCACAATTATCATCAAGACTGCCAACTATATATGCCTTGATGCTAACTGTGAGGATATTGTAATAGTGGATTTAAAAAGCATTGATTTATCATTTTTAACCTGCCATTGATTGATTAAATAATTGAATGAGGCAAACGGGATAAAAGTGGTCTAATTGCGTCCTAATAAGGCAAAAGATATATGAAGAACACACAGCAGCAAATAGAATGATGGCTTTCTTTTCTTTGATTCAAACTAATGATTAGCCTAATTTACTTTAAATTTTTCTTTTATACTTATCTAACTTCCCGATTACTGTTCTCCTCTTTTCCTTGCCAATGTTTCGAGCCATTATCTAAGGGTCTGCATTCTTCTCTCTACTTGTTCTATTACTGAAGGCAGGACCTCTATTTTTATAAAGCTGTAGTGAAGATATTTCAGCAAATAATCACTTCTGTGCTAGAAACCTATCAGCCGTTACCATCTGCAAATACATTGAGGTAATTCAATTAACAATCCCAACCTTCATGCGCGTGATCGAGTCTCATACATCGAAAAAAACAAAATTGTGCTAAATAATTTCACTGCTTATTGTAGAATTTGATACGATTTGATATGATTAACTGAAGTTGCATCTACATGGGGATAAATAGAGCAAAATGATATGGATTGAATGAGTACGTAATTAAAAAATTCTATATCATAAGGTAAAATGTTCCATTGGTATGTTCTTTCCTATTACAAGTTTGTTTTTTAAATTAAATGCGTCAAAAGAGGCGGCTAATGTGGTTATTTCGATAAAGTATATAAGTACTATTGATAGAAAAATATGCATTGAGCCTTCAAACATACCGAGGAAATAAAGACATCCGAGAAGTAGCTTTTGCGAGAGTAGCATTTTCGAAATTAAATTTTACCCATTTGATATAAACACATAGGAAAGTATAGTATATCCAAATTGAAGAGTATTTTGATTGGCTAAATGAAACGGCCAATCGTGTTACTGCAGCCATTCTTCGGAGCAGTTACATAGACTATATAATAATTAAAATGTCAGTAAACAAAATTATTATATTTTAAAATGTTTGATTTGCTACTAACGTTATATGTCACTTTGATTTAAGGACAAAACTATTATGACTGCAAAAATTTACTCAACAATGGCAACGTTGTCATTAGCATTGTAATTCATTTGAACTTAATTAAAACTAATTCAAGCAATATTCGAAGTGGGTTTATTCATACGGTCTCAAAAATACTTTACAGTCGAAAATGAGACTATTTTGAACTTTCCTTCCTTGGACGTTTTGTAAAGGACCAGAATTTAACTTCAAATTTGTCAAGTGCCTGGAATTTAATAGCTCCTGCTAATAAAGGAGTGAACTGAATTGTAAAATTTGTATTCAAGAAACTAAATAAAGAGAAATGTTACATTAATACCAAAACCGCGCCTAATGTCCTCAAGTGTTCAAACTAAGGTAACATGAATTCACTGACGTCATATTAGATAAATCCAGAATTTCGCAAACCGATCCATCATGAAGTAAACCGAAGGAGTTTAACAAAAGGAATTTAAGCACCGAATGTTGTAAGATCCTTTGGGTACCTGAATGCTTTCTCCAGCTTCCAGACTAGCTCGAATTAGTCAGAGACTTTTTGAAGCGGTAAATTGCTTCTTAATAACCCATGTTCTTTTATTGATGTGGTTTGTGTAAAATTGACTGGTTGAACGAGAAGGGGAATGGCATCAACGCTGGAATGGGGGATAATTGGGGCAAACAGCGGGAGGGGGGGGTTGTTGCCTGAGATTTGAAATGATTTCTTCTTCTCACCCCAAATAACACACGCTGTTGCTTATTGAAACAATCTTTTGAATAGGTTTGTACTGAACGTGATGCCAAAATAAAGGACGCCATTCCGAGTGAAGTTCATTTAACCGTTTTTGTCTTTACTAACTTAATAAAGATAGTTGAAGATATTTTTCTTATTGCTATAATTCTTCTAAAATTAAAGTAGCATTATAAACTTAACTAATTTAATTATCAAGTATAAGTTCCATTTGATAGCTACTTATTAGGTGATGTAAAGATTTGCATCGTCGCCGTTTCGGCACAGGGAATTTTTTCTTGGTTTAAATGTCAAATGCTTTTTTATTTGACAATGGAAATAAATACATGGCGAAGTATCATTCTGCCACTTTCCCTCTTAGTGAAGCTCAAACCTAAACCTTAACTCATTGTATTGATTTATAAAAAATGTTTCTTTAATAAAGTGGATGGCATATATTTTGCTAAGTGAACAATTGAGTACACAATTGTAGTTGAGTGTAATATTTTATCAAAAGGGAAAGTAATTTTCTTTCCACTCCTGTTAAAGCAGACTTCTATCACGAGGATGACGTTTAAATACTAGGAGTTTCAACCATCCACGTCCATTAGAAGCGATCGGCACCGGCTAAACGTTGCCCTTCTTTCTCCGAATATTCGCACATAGTTGGCAGCTTTACCCCACCTTCAACAGAGTTCCTTTGCCTTATGAGTATACGTTGCCTAAGGTGCACCACGTGGAGGTAATTCTATTGCACACCCCACCATTTCTGAAGAAATATCTTTTGTTAATACTAACTGCAATGCACAGAATTAGAATTACAATACATATGAAACCATTTGGAGATTACCTACCCATAAGAGATCGATAAAATTTGAACATTTTAACAACACGCATGCCTACTCAGATTCATTTTTTACTTTAATTTATTTCAGTCATTCCAGGTCTTGGTCGACATTGCACAGACAGCAACAATCCACTGAAATAAGCACTATTTCACCTCTTTGAATCTTTGAAACTCGATCATTCGAAGGAAAATCGATGTTCTCTGAGCTCATGAAACCAATCAAATTAAACATTAAGCTAATTCGTGGGTAGTTCAAGTGTCCAAATGGACATGTCTTAACTGAAAGTCATCTACGTATACAAATTGGTTCTTGAATTTATCAGGAGGCTATAACATGTTTAAAGCAAATTATAAAATAATAATTCTCGTTCACTTCATTCATTTAAACAGGAATTGCTCCTAATCTGCCTGTGATAGGAGAGATGAACTCCTTCAACATATTTTAATCGTCAAAAGTCTGTGAATAAAGAAAATTGGTTTAAAATACGTAGATATTGAATCATTGGTATCAGGAATCTTTCGATGAATTAGTTCTAGGAGCATTAGCATATTCATATTTCCTTTGAAAGTGCAGGTATTCGATGTTCAGTTTTCGAAATATCGCACAGCAGGGAATTTATTCATCATTTTCAAAGCTTAATAAATTTTGCTTCAAGCAAGACTACCTCGATATGACGATATCTTATTGCAAAGATAGCAATTAGTGTGGACAAGAAACTACAGTTGAACATCGTAAATATCACTAGAATGTACTCAAGAGTAAAGTTGAAGTGGATGGTAATATTGAATGGATGTTATTGCTTTTTTTCCTATTGAAAACAGCTAGAAATATTATGTTTATTGGGACCTTATCTCAGTTGACCAGACCTCTTGGCAGTTTTACGGGAAACAGTGTATTTTGACTATCCCTTTTCAACCGTGAATCCGTGATGATTTCAGATGCTGCACACTGTGAACTCTTTCAATCTCCCTCCCTCCGTTCGCCACCCACTGAGTTGGTCTTCACTGCATTGCTTTTACATGTCTATCGTTCTTGAGGTGTTGGAAACGACGAATCAATCCACTTAACTTGGTAATCTTCAAATCAAAACACTTCAAATGCAAACCATGACTTTCGAACTAAGCCTAAAGTTATCATTTTACTATTTTCAAATGAGATGGAAGGGTACTTAGCTTAACTCACGGAAATAGATCCTATTATTTACTCCACGGGATCCTTTGAATGAATCACATTTAGTCGATCGGCATTGTTGAGGCTAACGGCC